ATTAGATAGCATATGTCTTACTGAGCTTCAACAGTAATAACTGAAAAGTCCAATTTCCCAAATGCTGTGCTTGATCTTAATGTTGTTTTGGAGAGGAACTTTGTCAGGATGATATAAAAATTTAATTAAATGAAAATACCAGCTTATTTCTTTGTTACTAATAGCCTCACATAAAATGTCATTTAATAGATAGATAAATAATTCTAGTTTTCTCAAAGTACCATAACCAAGGCATAATACAGAGTTTTTAAGTGATTTGAATTTCACATATAGAGCTTGCTTAGTTAATGATTCTAGTTACTAAGCATTAAGAAATTTTGAGTGACGAATGAGGTTATGAAATAGATGTGCAAACATGGAAGTAGAGCCGTGGAGTTTGAATAGCTTAATACCATTCTATCAAGCCTAATGTCATTTTCCCCTTTCTTCATTTGGCAACCAGACCATTTCCACCAGTATTTTTAATATCGCCTTGATTCAGCATAACTTTTTGAGTTCTTATATTACATCATTTTAGAACATTAGAAGTAGGAATTAGCAAATCATTGCTAATCATTATGAAATCACAAGCTAGTAAGGGTAAATGAAAAGCCCAGTGGGAAAAATAAACAACTTATGTACTGAGATGTCATGGTGCCATGTTTGAGCTTTCTGTACCTTACTAGCTCAGATTCTGGATCTTATTCACACAGGACCACTGCAAACACATTTTTCCTTTGTGAAAATTAGAGACACATGCTTCTTCCTGTGTGGAAATATTTAATATATTTACAATGGGACAGTCCTGCACCCAGGCTTGAAAAAAGACTACAAGACTTAGCTCTTGTTGCTAGGAAACATGACAATGTTAAGCCATGCAGTTATATGTAAAAGTTGAGCAAGGCAATGATCCAGAGAATATTCAGAAGATTCTTTAACCTAGGAGTTAATTGGAATGATTCTCACCCTGACTAACTATATATACTGATGTGAACTAAGCTACTGCACTGCAGACGGTAATTTGTAATAGTGGTTTCATATTGGGAGTGCCTGT